TACGTATATATGTACGAACGATTGAAATTGTTGCCATTAAATCTCTTGTGTTTGCGCGGAAGTAAAATACGCATACGGTATCAAATAATTAGGTCAAGATTTGTAAGGTTTCGGAAATCGACTAGCGAATAAGCAATAAAAATCACTCCGATCTAATATTCTTTCTTTGCCCGATACCCTAGCTAAATTAAGATACAATAACAGAATAACTGAGTTAGCAGAACTGATAAGCATCAGCTCTGTTGATCCTGCCGACAATAGTTCTCCTAATGACTAAGGGTATATGCCTATATTTAAATTTCAATAAATTGCCTACATATAAAGGCAATAACGGAGATCCATATTGTACAATGCGTTTATTTTAATCATTTTATTATATATGTTATACTAGTCTCAGCCGCTATCAGGTATCTAGGTTTTGCTGTCTCTGTTTTCAACTAGTTACGCCGCCTTTCGAATAGAAAACAAATAATTCATCTTGCTTTGTGAATTTGAATTGCAAAAAATTAAGATCTTCACGAATAGGTTTATTTTTAGTTATAGTAGAAAAAAATCTTAAAATTTAGTGTTAAGTCTCGAATATTTATCGAACAAATCGTTCGTTCGGAACATTCGTTTCCGGCAGCTGTAGCTTGTACTTGTCACATTGCGTACAACACGATCACTTTTGTCCGTGAATCAAGCGCTCTAAGAGAGTTGATTAAAATGATTTATGTATTGGATGAAGGTCTGATCAAATGTAAGTTAAATTAATGAAATAATAAATGTACATTGAATGTATCGTTGTTGCTATCCTAATGGATATTTCTCGACGCTGCCTATACATGGCCAGCCGGTTTATTGTTACTACCGTGTTAAAGCCTCTATTTAAAACAATGACTGCTCTTTTGGACAGGGCAGACTCGTTGCATCTAGTAGTGTTGACCTTAATCGTGCGAAAGATCGTTGCAATGCATAGAATTGGCCATCCGCTCTATCCTTTTAAAGATCTTCAGCTGTATGCTTGGCCTGACTGAACGAGAGGACCCATTGCTCCGACCACGGTAGGTACTGCGCCGCCTTCTGTTGCGGCTTCGGGCGCGTTTCTATTTACTGTCTCTGTTTTTACTAACATCCTGATCTGCTCCTTCGTGCCGGATGTTGATCCTGACATTACCAAGACCATCTGCCTTTCTCCTGTTTGTGCATAAGAACAACTGCTCGCCTGTCTGCAAGCGGCGCGATAAAGCGCTCTGCTGCGCTTCGATTGAATAAAATTTACTTACTCTTTCGCGTTTGATAATGAGTATATTTGCTCGACTGATTTAGCCGACGTAATTTACCATTGGCCAGTGACATTTCATAGTAGCTTCGTTCGATTTCAGCTGATTGTGTATACATCGATTTTTTTTTTATGCAGCGATAAATTTGGTGCTGAGACGGTAGCTTACGCATTTCTGCTTTTTGCTTTGACTTCTCGACATTGGGTCCGTATAACCTACTCATGCTGAGCGCCGCTTGAAGTTGCCTTTCTTGGCAGGCCCTTTTCGGTACAAGTCCGAGGAGTCTACTAGTCTTAGCAAACCGATAAGGCTTCCGATTTTTTGCCTTCAGCATCCATTTTAATCGTTCGTTAAACGCTCTCTCCACTGATAAGGTCCATATGGATTTGAAGAGTTCTAAATTCTTACTATTATAGATTACTAGATAGACTTATGGTACAATAAGAACGGAAAATATTGTAATCGGTGCCCCTCTTTACAGTATCGCTAAATTTCTGAGTTAACGTTTTGTCTTCGTTCAGTATTTTAACAGACATTCGAGTTGCCGGAGCGCTCCAAAGCTACCAGTGTCTGAGCGCATTGTGGTTTTTTTTTTAAAATAATCCTCTTTGGCACAAAATATGTTTTTCGGAAATTAGTCCTGCCAACCGTTTGTTATGTAAAATAACTTTTTACACAAACCTTTGAAACATCTAGCTGGCTGCAATGCTGTCTTTACGCGTTCAATTAGATTCGATTTATACTTACAATAGTGCCGTGCAAAAAGATTTTTACAGGAGCGTACGTACGAAATCGATGCACCATTGTCAAGATCTACACTTTGTTTAGACCTTTATTATTTATCGATGTCAATACCACTATTTTGCTTTGTTATGCCCAAAACACCATTGAATGAATCGCTCACTATACAACTGCGTTTTGATCATTTCAGTGTACATGACCAGCTCATCAACATGGTATCTTTCTAAAATAAGGACCCTATTAAATAATGATTTCATGCTTCAGCAGAATATTCGTAGTGAAGGACCTGCACGGACACTTTGCGAGACTCTAAAGGGGGCCTTAGCAGATGAGGACTAATATCCCCAACCTTGACTTTGAATCAGGAAGCAAGTCCTCAAATAGGTACAACAGATGTACTGTCATTCTGGATCTTTGCTTGCGTAGAATGCTTTTCATTAAAATAAAGCCTTATTATCAAAACACTAACATAAATCCTTCGAGAAGTATTAAGGTGATTATCGACGGGTACCCAGTCGTGTGGCACTCCTATTAAATACGTGCAACTAGTTCAGTTCTTGTCCTCGTGATGGCGCAGCGAGTAACGTTTACATACTAATCGTAGTATGCGGGCATAGACACGCTACGTTCCGCGCTAAGAACCAGCGTTTTTGAGATTTACTTGACGGCTCATATACCTGACGTGGAATACAAAAAAAAAACGTCTTTATCTGATATATTTCTGCGGGATTTTGTTTGGATCCAGAAACTTTGAGGAGAACTGGTACTGTAAAGTGACATGCACTGTTATGCCTTCTACGATAATTTAGGACACGAGCTTCCATACAATCAGATGATACTTATCAGGTACCATGTGCAGTTTGTGCCTGTGTATGAGTGACACGATACTCTCCTTAAGGATTGAGGAGACCCCTTATTGGTAGGGTCGGTGGAAGTAATCGAAGCAGATTTTGAGATAGCATTAGTTCATTCCTTGAAGGCAATCAATGCCTAAGTTCCGTTCGAGACGTACAGGCGTTTTAATACTAACTCAGATGATTCATACCATCGATTCTCTAGACAATCGCCGGTACGAAGGCGAATGGTACTATCATGCAAACTGAATCAATCATTGACGTAAAGAACAAAGTTTTTGATATTGTGTCCTGGCCATACAAGATGCTGGAAATAGCGATGCAGCTGCATGAGGCGTATATAGTAGAAAGCTTATGTAGTGAATAACGGTTGGAGTTGAAAAGTAACGTAAAAAATTAGTGGTGACATATGTATGGAACATTCGGGTGTATGCGATTCTATCAAAAATAGGAGTACGTTTACAAAGTCCTAAATCTGCTCCTATACGTTTGTAAGTTATTCAAAGAAAGTATATCAATTTGTCTTGACATGCTTTTGTGAAGCTTGACTCTGAAAACTGATAGGGTAGCGCTGGTTGACCTACAATGCGCAGGATTACCAACGCGATTTTAACTACCATAGCAGTAGAGATAGAATCGACATATATTGCCGTTTTCAATCTACTTCGTCGATGACGACAGTTCCAGATTTAGCTTTGGAAATCGTGTAGCCATTGCAGCGGGCTCCTCAAGCTGTTCGTTAGCAGTTATTATTACTCAGGCCTGTTGCGTTTGTCATATTGTGTAAAGTTCGGTAACTGTTATACACAGCGGACCACGACTGCTACTATTGCATTATTACCTCAGATATTTTTTTGCGCACGGCAGTTGCTCAAGACATTAGTAAGTTAAACTATCGGACTCTGTATACATATATATACATAGTGATTTGTAGATCTGTTTAGAGATGTTTCGCTGAGATTCCTAGGCTTTACGCGGTTCGAAAGCCATTGATAGACCATAAGTATGCGGACGTATATATAATATATCACTGCATAACAAATGATCGAACATAGAAAAATCAAGCGTAGAAGGAGATATCTCCGCTACTCGATCTGTATCTGCGTACACCAAATATAGCACATAATAAATAATTATAATAACAACAAAAAGAAAAATGATACATATGTTTTAATACGAAGCGTGATTGTTATATGAAAAATGGTATCTCCTATTCCGGTGCAGTATTTGTCATAACAGGAAAATTTTTTTAGTTGAACCGATGCGAAATGTTTGCGACATTGCCGTTTGGTACTCCATCTCAGACAGTTGGCTTTCAATGCGAAACTGTCTGTCTGCTTCCGGATTTGGGCCTCGATCATCGCGGCTTCCAACGACTCGCAGGCAAACAAGTTAGCTACTGAGTTATCCCCGCGATGACGGAACATAGCTGGCTAAAATTAACCCGAAGACGCTGTTTGTCTGGTTCAGCTCGATCCGGTCTGTCATTGACTACAGTCCCGGACACATGTTTTCTAGTGCTCGTATGCACCTATCCTCATCGCTTGATGCTCACCTGTTCTGACGCCTCCTCCTCGAGTACAAAGCCATCCGCACTGAAATTGAATGATGAGCCGCTCTGAGTTTCAAACGAGGGCAAAGTGCAGTTCATTATTACGGCCAAGCACGACTAGAAAAAGACGAGTCAACCTAGTTCGTTTGTCAGCAAAGAAACATAAAGGGCAGCCTTAAACAGCGACACCTGCAAGCAAAAGCAGCAAAAGAGGAGAAAAAAAAACATCTGTAGGCACATTGAAGTATATCGAGTGAACGATTGAGCATCTGATTGAAAGCAATAACACTTACTTGATAGAAATACTTTGTTAAATACAAGAAACCATCATCTAGACTGAAGCCAATGATTGTTAACACTGCAGCGGGGCAACGTCAATGCAATAATGCCTTGTAGGCAAGCCGTAGGAGAATTATAATCGAATAGGGCGTACGCGATTTCGCTTCTCAGTCGAACGATGTCAGCCAAGCATAGAGCAACTTCATACGTCAGTGACCTTTTACTTTCTTTTTCAGCTTTCCAATGTCCCTGAAACAGTTCACATTTCTTCATCCTTCTCTTGCTCTTCTTCTTGCTGCTATTATTTGGTCATCTGTAGTTATCACCACTATTGACTTATCAATATTACAGTATCTGTACCCCACAAAAATTTGCGTAGCGATACACAACGCTTTGTTGACGCACAGCATATGAATACTAGATAAATGGCACTTTAGTATGAGAAGCTAGTCATGTAAAGTAGCTGAACAGTACGTGTTTCCAAGGAACTGATTAAAAAGTAGCACAAGGAATCGTACGCATCGAAATGGCGGTATGGGGAAAAATCTGATCCGCAGAACGGACTTACACGTAAACCAGAGACTTGCAACACTTTAAGACAAACCTACAAAGAATAGTGCAAGTGGAAGAATCCCATTTGAGGGTTATAGCTTTAGAAGAAGGTGCTTTACTCTATCACTCTGTACGTTCATTACATTCATTTATAAATTTTCAAGGCAAAACGGCATGTCCGAAGTAAGAAGGATGTTTCAAAGCAATAAGCTGTATTGGGGTCTAGTTTCAGTAACTTTCTGATATCAATGTAACTACCTTTATTTTTATGTTGGTTTTATTTGTTAGTCAGCTAACTATCGACCACTCATCTGACTTAGACCTCAACAGATGTACATGTTCTCCTTTCCAGGCAGTTAACATGGTAAATGCCTGTTGTCACCACCCTCGGTTACGAAGCTAAAACGGTAATTCAATCATCAATCAAGCTTCGCTTGGCAGTGAGAGGGTTCATGTTGACGAAGATGGATAAACGTTACGAAGTTTTTAAAACCTCTCATATTCGCTCCGTAAGACAAGGCGATTTTCCTTTTTTCAAGTGATTTTCATTCCACAGAAAAAGATTTTAAATATTTCTGTTAATTAACGTAAAAAACTGATGGCGTGTGCATTAGCATTTTGGTACCGATATATTTGCAGAAATCGAAAAGCATGAGAAGACCCACTATTGTCACAGGCCACACAGCGGCGTCAGGCTCATTCTCTATAAAGCCAGCAATTCTTGAGCGAAGCGCACATCCTTATGAGAAATGTCACCTTCTTTCACGCAGGAAAACCGGCACACATCGTTCATATTGACGCAAAGTTATAAAAAAGAGGACTCGTACAATGAATATACATTTCACGCACAAACCCTCATTCCTGTATTGAGTAGTGTGAACCTAATTTATTTCAGAGTCACAGCCAAGGCTGCTGGTTACTATTATATAGTGCTGGGCCTGGATATCATTTTTGCCTCTAGATCGGCGTTATTTGTTTCACCGATCACTCGTTTACGTTTTGTTTTAAAATTTTGATTTGTGACGTGATTATGCTGTACAATATTCCATTGTCTTCTCTAGTTACCAACGATTTTTCTCTATTTCTCGTCTCACTAGCGGTTTGACATTTACGATCTGGCCTATTCAGGCGTCAACATCAGGCCAATTGTTACTGCTGTGCAAAGGAAGACTGTGATTTTCGTTGTTTATTTTACTGTAGCCCTACCTAGGTACTTCATTGATTAAGATGAGTTGCGTGCCTAGCATAGGTTAAAAAATAGTCACCCGCAAATCGATTGCTTTGCACGAACTTGCACTTACAAGCCTCGTAAAGAATATAGACTCGAGAACAATTACCCGCCGATATTGAGGCTACAGACTGTAGCGTAAATATTCCTAGCCACCCTGATTCAATCCGAATATGCTGAAAGACTCCGTAGATACTGTTGTACAAAGTGATATGAAATCAAAATGGATCCTTTACATTTTTCGACCGGAATGGAATTAGCGTAGCGAGCAAAATTTTTTTTTTTTTAATTTAATGGGGCTTATGTTAAAGGCGTACGCCAAACGAACATTGAACGTAGCTGCATAGTGTTAAATTGGCTTATTTCTATTCGCCTTATAAATAACTCTGACGACGTTTCAGCTTAGCTAGATTTCGATTTTAGTCAAGTTTATCGAAACCTAGATACATGGCACGGGTATGATATTTTAAAGTATGCATAATCTGCACATATCAAAGCATGATACTGGGCGTGCGAATCGAGAGTTTAACATGAATCATTGGTAGCGTCTCAGTGTAGCCTTGACGCTGGAGGGGGTGCAGTAAATAGCGCCGATGCTATGGAAAAAAAAAGCGGATTATGTGACCAAAATGAAATTCACCTAACCAATTATTATTGAAAATATCCGTATCGTTAGCCCATGCAGTCCCACTAACCGAAAGTCGCAGCTATATGAAACGCTAATGACTTTATGGGAAAAAATAAAAGTGCCCTTTCAGAAAGAGGGCCCTGATTACGGCCGGAGCAGTTGATTTACTGCTGCCAGACTAGTAATCCTAATTACTTGTCTATCGTAGGTCTATATGAAATTCCGCTGTATCGTGCGGAGCCCGTCTTTGAATCACCTGGTTACTAGCACATGCACATGTTGCATTTTGTTCAAGAATAAGCAATGTGCGCACCTACGCCTCTATAACCATCATGCTTATTTTAGTGTATATAATTATTCATGCTAAACTATGATCTATAATTATGCGTATCCGCAGTGAAGTACGTATGCTTCACTGGAAACCATATGTACAATGTTGTAGGTACGTGAAATATATACCCATGGGCGTATATATTTTACACAAATCCTTTAAAAGTTATGTTGTATTCTAACGTCTTTCAGTTTCGCTGTAAAGTTAGCATCGACGGCATCGTATTTGGCATATGTTCGAAATAAAGTGGCCCTCCTCGGTGAGGTCCACATAGCCTTCAAGGCCATCATGTGATACAACTGAAAGCAGTGGCCGTGATCAAACGTAAGCCGCCTCAATTCGTCATTGCAAGTGTAATCATAGGACAGATAGGACAGATATAATAAAAAAACAGGAATACTTGGTTTCTTTATCGTTCAACAAATGCAAAAGAAGTATTTAGCTCTTCCATATAACTCCATCTTTTGCCAGATTTTATAAATACCACAAAAGCATCATGATTATTCCATATTTTGCTTTTATATGCCAGCTGTTGAAAGCTCCATGTGCTTAAGGTAATTTGTTCAAAGTTCAGCACGTACCTAGGAAATCACACAGAGTAACCAAGCTCCAAGACCGCTATTCGCCTTCAAAGGTTAATAGTCACTATTTTTCTAATTATTAATGTTAAATTGGCCTAGCTCTAGTCCTGCACTCAAGCGTTACCTACTTGTTCTATATATATATATATGTAGAAGAATAGAAAATCTCGTTGTAGAACTTCTTTGAAATGGCTTTGCGATTTTTAAAAATTTTAGAGGATGCTTAACACAAGATGACAGGGTCTTACACAGAGGCTTATTTATAACACCTTTATCAATATAATGTAAGAGTAAGAGATGACTATGAAGATGATGCAGGACGCACGATAGAAATACTATCACATACATGCGATGAAATTGGTACATCATCAATTCAAATATAACAAGCAAAATATCTAGTCAAACAAGTATTTCCTGAGACATTTCGCGGCAGTTGACAAAGGAGTTCTCAAGAAAATCAAAAGAAGATGGCTAGTAGATATTTTTAGCCTACTCTTATTTTGTAGCATGTTTCATGTTTGCTTTTTCAGGTCTTAGGTAGGTAAAACTTCATCCAACAATCTAAAGATCAATAGTTTAACTTCAGTGATCTTTAAGCAATTGATCATTCGAAACTGCAAACTCGACGCGTGGCCCTCATATATTTTGTGGAATACGTGTGTCCCGCATAAACACGATCTTAGATTACTAAACAATGTTCTAGAGGTGTATTCTGACTTCTGTAATGTGCGCTTTGTATTTGTGCTAACAAAAAAATAAAAACAGAATGGTTGATCGGCAAGGGAAATCTTCTCATAAAGGTATTCATAGATAGTCAATTTCTAGGCGCGCATTTTCCTTAAGGCAAAACTTGCTTTTTGAAAAACCCCATATGGTCTGATAACGTTGCTTAAGTTACGATATCTATAGTTTGACTAGATATCGTATTGCAAGTCCTTTTCGAAATACTGCGTGTTCCTTAACTTCTTGTCCTCAGATTCTATTTTTTGCGTCTTAAACTGCCTCAGTTGTTCGTAGGACAGCCACTATTTTAGATATTAAATTCAAATAAAGTAGCTGTAACTGTTTTGTTCAGAAGTTAAATTTTCAGCGAAGAACAGATTATAGCCTGATAGAGTCACTGGCATTTTGAATCGTACGGTTTTTAACGCAGCGCAAAACGGGCTCCAGATCGAGTTGTTTTAAGTTTTGGTTATCGTCACTTTGCCCGCTTATTACGTCGACGAGAATAGCTGGCATATCACCGTTTTGCCAGTAACACTTTACGCTAAAAATTATTGAAAGCCGTACTAATATGCCCAGTTATCCAATCTGCCAAGAGCGTTATCCTGACATACATTACATTATTAGTACTTATTGAATGATGTGCTGTACACGTCTTGGGCGAGTGCACAGCTTGGATATCCTACAGATAAAATGTTTACGGTTCAAGTAGATTCATTGAATTCTGGTCAAATTATATTCAAGCGTTTATTTATCAAAATGGCCAAAGCGTAGAACGTATTTAAGAGTATTGGTAACAACGAATACATGGATAGGCACAGAG